GGAGGCGCTGGGAGAGACAGTGGGAAGAGGGTCGATAATTGGGCCAAAATAAGCCATGCGCGCGTCTATTTCGGCCAAGTCCCGCGCTCACTATAAGCCTGGTGCAGCACGATAAGCCTAGTGTCAAAGAAAAATACACGGTTTATAAAAAAATTTATTTTAATAAAAAAAGTTTATTAGTTTTACTTTTAATAATTTATGTGTTTTCATTTTATTGTATCTTTATGATACTTATTATATTTTTATTTTGATATTTTTATTGTAATTTTATTTTTTATTTTCATTATATTTTTATTTTTATAATACTTTTTATTGTATTTTTATTTAATTGTTCTTATAAATGATACCCTCTCCCCTTATTTCATTATTTCCATTCTTTAAAATATCGCGCCAATATTCTGGTAAAAGATTGGGCGTGTTTGGAGCAGGCCTCACCTGCGGCTGCTTGTAAACTATAACATCTCCGATGTAGTCTCTGAGTACCGAGAGGGAGCGAGTCGGGTTTGTGAAGGAAGTGCGGGCCCGGTTACTCAGTTTGCCTCGAAACTTCTCGTGCTATCAAAGGAGGCCATCGAATGACACGTGTCAGGCCGCCGCATTTTTCGGACCCGCCTGGAATATTTGAGACATTTATTGCACAACTAGGGTTTTGATGCCGGAAATTGCAGATCTACAAGGCGGCACAAGAAATCATGCCCAGAAGCGACATGTAAACTCCTATGTAATGTCTTTGCAACATGAGTAGGCCTTTTGCAGACGAGGGAGGGGCAGGCTCAGCCACCGGGGAGGGAAAAATTACCTCGGGGCCATGCCTCATCCAACCGTTTAAATCCTTGGAAAATCGTATGATGCCGGAAATCCTCGAGAGCTGGCATGGTGTCATAACATGGCCCCTGTAGGGTATGGTAAAAGTTCGGGAGCGTTTCGAGTAGGGCTCACCTGCGACCGCTTGTAAACTACACCATCTCCGATGTAGTCTCTGGGTACAGAGAGGGAACAAGTCGGGTTTGTGAAGGAAGTGTGGGCCATGTTGCTCTGTTGCCCTCGAAACTTCTCCTGCTATCAAAGGAGGCCATCAAATAGGCCCCCGCATTTTTCGGACCCGCCTAGAATATTTGAGACATTTATTGCACAGCTAGGGTTTCGGGGCCGGAAATTGCAGATCTGCAAGGTGGCACATGAAATCATGCCTAGAAGCGGCATGTAAAGTCCTATGTGATGTCTTTGCGAC